GGCGGATGGGGGGGGGGGGGGGGGGGGGGGGGGGGGGGGGGGGGCACTCACCAGAGACTCACAAAAAGTGACGGGTGAAATTCAAAACAGCTGAGGCCCTCATTGTAAATCTTAGCTTGGAACACGGGGTCAAATTCCAAAACAATCCCACAATACCGATCTTTCATATCAGAACCAGACGTCCTCCCCCGTCCTCCCCCGTCCTGCCCTTCGTTTTCATGCATGTTTTCTACTTTTTAACCAAATACGCCTGAAACATAAATCGCCTCAACCCTCACGACTGGGAGCGCTGGACTTATTCATGTGTGTTTTTACAGATGAAGCTGCTGAAAAACAGGAGTGTAGTTTTTTTCCCCAGTAGTTGAACAGAAACCCTGACCTCCTCCACACCTGCCTCAGGTCCAACCATCAGTGTGTGAGGACTGTTCTCTGAGTGGGAACTTCAGACTCAACAAAAAGAACCAGCACCGCTGGTTTAACTGTGAATAACGATTTTTTTTTGGTGTCATTTTTGGTCAAAAACGAAAGAAATTTGACGAAAATTTGTGTAAAATTATTTTTCAAACTTTTATCTTTTCCTGCATGTTTCTCAAAAAATTAGAGCTTTTAAAGAGCATTTTTAGAACTTTTTCTGTATCAAAGTCATTTTTGAGAAAATTTCTTTTTCGGAGATTTGTTCAGGAAATTATTGGTATAGTATTTCAGTGTCATCCAAAGTTGACGTACCAAAAAGTCTATTTTTTTCTGAAATTTAACAACAGAAATGGACATAGCTAAGTATTTTAAGACATATGAGTGCATTTTTAGTCATTTTTGAGAAATTTTTTTTTTCGGAGATTTGTTGGGGAAATTATTGGTATAGTATTTCAGTGTCATCCAAAGTTGACGTACCAAAAAGTCTATTTTTTTCTGAAATTTAACAACAGAAATGGACATAGCTAAGTATTTTAAGACAAATGAGTGCATTTTTAGTCATTTTTGAGAAAAAAAAAATTTCGGAGATTTCTTCGGGAAATTATTGCTATAGTATTTCAGTGTCATCCAAAGTTGACGTACCAAAAAGTCTATTTTTTTCTGAAATTTAACAACAGAAATGGACATAGCTGAGTATTTTAAGACAAATGAGTGCATTTTTAGTCATTTTTGAGAAAAAAAAAATGTCGGAGATTTCTTCGGGAAATTATTGCTATAGTATTTCAGTGTCATCCAAAGTTGACGTACCAAAAAGTCTATTTTTTTCTGAAATTTAACAACAGAAATGGACATAGCTAAGTATTTTAAGACAAATGAGTGCATTTTTAGTCATTTTTGAGAAAAAAAAAATGTCGGAGATTTCTTCGGGAAATTATTGCTATAGTATTTCAGTGTCATCCAAAGTTTGCGTACCAAAAA